TAAAACAATCCGATAAGGAAAAGGGTTGGACGCCACCACTCTATAGATATACAAAATATTACAAAAGTCTTAACAGCTGAGATTTACCTTGTCTGCAGTGACAAGTGGCATCTCTCTGGGTCTGCTAAAGAGCACCGAGGCCGCCCAGAAAGGCAACACAAAGAAGGGGATGTTCCTCCAAAAGGCTGGTTGAATGTTTGATCCATATTTACCTGCACAAACAGACACATCAATAACAAAAAACAGACACAAACCCACTCAAATGATGTGATGAATCAAACGCAGGCAGCTCTCACCAATAACCACTCCTGGGATGTGAACAATTTGATGGGCGATTGCGGAGCCTGCCCACAGCAGCCCCAGGCTACGATAGGACTTCCTGCATGGACAGAAAATCAACAGCTCTCATTAGAGGGCTCAATGAACAAAAAGTGGATGGGTTTCTGATGGTGATGCTGCAGCTTACCCTTTGAACATGCGGTGGATGATGGTGAAGAAGAGGGCCAAGTGAAAGATGCCCTCCCAGTAAGACATCATCACAGCATAGGCGGTACTTAGATGAGGCTCACCCTGAGGGGACGGCATCACATGATGAATTTTAAAGTTCATCTTATGCTTATTCTAGGTTTATACTTCTATTTCAGGCTTCTACTAGAACATGTTTACACGCTTTAATGTTACAAAAACACTGAAACACTATAGCGCCTGTCTCCTTAAGCCAACCTCCAAAAAAAGCCCAGTCTGCTCTGACTGGTCCACTGTTCTGGGTCTTCAATATCAGCACTCTCTGCATCTCTGCACTGTCATAGCAGCCATTGTCATTGACTGTAAAGGAGAATAGCAGCACTTTCTATTGTGAAAAATCACCAATAAAAGTGTCTAAACTCAACTGGACATGTTTTGGCAGGAATATAGGATCCTAGTAGCATAGGCTGCCAGATCAAAGTTTTGATGACTGAATGCCAATTTAGGGAGCCAGCATATGATGGTGGGTCACACAGCCATGGAGCACTTTTTTCCATGATGGCTCTGCCATCTTACTTCCACAAAACTGCAGAGTTGTCCCAAATCGCTAAATCCTGAGGTTAATTTCAATACCTTTTAAAGACTTTTTTAAGACCTTCCAAAAAAAACCTTAAGACCTCATCGCCACTTCAAGCTGTCGTTAGCAGCAACGCATCTTTAACTTACTAAACAGTTGTAGTTTGCAATTAAATCTATGGAGCACAAACAAACAACAGAACTCAGATAAGATGAGAAGGATTTTTTATTGTCTTTTGCTCCTCTGTTTGGCATCTGGAGGTGTGCCATCACGTGATGTCGCACAGGAACGCGCACGGCCCTGAGTGCCAGTCTGAGTGTGCCTACCTAAACATCATTGTTTGTAATAGTCGCGAGGAGGAAAATAAATTATACATTCATGGATACTTTTTGTCAAAGCTTGAATGCCAAGAAAATGTAATACTTAATAAAATCGCAATTAAGACTTTTTAATACTTTTTAAGGGCCTAAATTTTCCGACATTTGATTTATCAACTTTTAATACTTTTTAAGACCCCGCGGGCACCCTGTAAATCAAGCTAATAGCACTAGCGCTGATGACCAAACGTAATTCCTGTGACAGTCATGCGATGCCACAAGTTGCAATGCAACCAAAGGCTTACTGCAAGTTCGGCCGAAACCAAACAAAATTTAAAGGCCTGAAATCCATACCATCATTAAGAAGTCATCTGAGACGAGAGAGGAAAGGTGTAGCTCAGTGTGAGTCATTTTACCTTCTTCAGGTAGAAGCCCATGAAGCCAGAGATGAACCCATCATGCTCTAAAGCATTAATCAGGCCCACCGTGCAGGTGAAGCAAAACTCTGCAAACACTGCACAGATGCAAAGAGGCGGAGTTAAAAAACAACCTTCATATCACTGATGGATGTTGAAGTGTGTGTTTGTCTGGTTGTACCGTAGAATAAGGGGTCCACTTTCATCTTGTCTGGCACAGTGAAGGGGAGGAGGGCAAGAACTAATCCCAGGACGACTATTTCCATTCCCAGGATAGGAAGAGGTCTGAAAATAAAGGTGAGAGGTCATACATCAATTTGCATCAATTTTGAAGGAATTTCCATTTCTGACATTTTATTCATCAAGCGATTATGGAATTAATCCAGAAAATCTAAAATAATTAGTTTCAAAATGCTAGCCATGCTTTGATACAAAGTTCAAAGTTGTTCATAGATTGCACTACTCTCCCACTGGACTTCAAAACATATTCAAAGATGTTTCACCCCTCTGTGTGAAATGTTCGAAAGATCAACAAACTGGGTCTCAATACTTCATGCAATGCCATGGGCTGCAAACTTTTGGGGGCATTTATTTGCCTTTTTGGCTATGGCCTTCATGAAGTAGTTTCTCCCTGCCTCTAACCGCACTATTTGGTCATCTCTCTGTCCACACTGCTAGCAAGAAAACTGATGCTTCAGTTTTGGAAATCTGAGAGGCTTGATATGTAGCTGAATGAATTAGATAATGATTTACATTTAGTGAAAATTAGATTCACCATGTCAAACATCTGCGTAAGAAAATCTGGCGACAGGTCGTTAGTTTGACTTAAGAATTAAAGTGAATGGATAATGGTTTAATAGGTCACTGTACCCTGGTGTCATATCAATACCCTGCCACTTGACACAATGACTTATGTGTAATCTTTTACCACCAATGCTCCATTTTGCTTTGTTTTGTTTTTTTCTTTTGTTGCTGGTATGTTTCTTTACTGTAGTTTTGTAAAATCCAATAAAGACAAAAAATATAATAATCATTAGTTTCAGTCAATCTACAGTTTCCTCCCATGATCCATACTTAGATCAGTAAAAAGAGGTTGGGATGTTGATAACCATAGACACCATTTCATCAACTCCATAACCTAAAACTTCCACCATTTTCTTTTTGGAAAAATCTCAAAAGGGCCCAAACTGCTCTGCTCATTTGCAAAATCCCACCCACCCTCACTTAGACATCAAAGTCAAAGACTTTTCACTGACTTTACGGTTTTCTTTGTTGAAATTCAGGTTCCCAGTTTTGTTAAATACAGGTCAAGTTCTGTACACCTTTCAAGATCTTAAGTAAAGAAACCATAGTGAAGTCATCACTTAGAAGTGCACTCTTAAGGGTCCAATAGGAAACACTGATGAATTTTAAAAGCCTCACACTCACTGCAGTTTACTTTCAAGAGTTCCTTAAATTCCCCAAACGTTATGCCGAAAGGATTAAATGATTCTTGTTTTCTGTGTTGGTTTAAGAATCTCAACAATGACTTTAAACGAGGTTACCTCGGGATAAACAAGCCCTCGCTAAACCTCCTTTCCCCTCGGGCTGTGGGCCGCTTCATAAGCCTATTAATATCACCGTGCGATGCCTCCATACAGCAGGCCGAGATCAGAGTGAAATGATCAAGTCGGTGCATGGCAAGCACACTTACTCCTGAAGAGCTGGGATGTTGTTCATGGCGTACAAAATTCCAGGAGCGCAGAGAGACAGGATCAACACGCAGACTTCCACCGGCGGCCTCATTGTTGAAAAACGTGTTGTTTGACCAGTTTCTAGAAAGAAATGTCCGCTAAACGCTAAACACGCTTTGATGTGAAGCGAGGCATGTTAGAAGCCAGTGTCCTCTCCGCTGCCACCGAGGGAATGAGGTAATTAAAAGGAGTGTCACCTTCGATGCCTTTTGATCTGTGATGAAACATCTGCTGCTCCAGTAAGTCTGCTATCTGATGGGTCTCAAAGTTCAGCTCAGGGCAGGTGTCGCGTCTAATGAGTGAGTTTAAAGGGAGAGCAGTGCAAAGTGCACCAAATTGACTCCTGGGTTGTGCGTAATGCGTAAAATACGCATTTGTCTTAATGAAAACAAGCACTTTGGTGTTATAGGTTGCAACTGATTGCTGCTAAACTGTCTGCTGTGCAGTTCCACATGGCACTGGGAAACCATTTAAACCATTCAACTGCTCATTCACCATTCAGTGTGTGCTTGTACAGACTGCCACCTGGTGGAGGAGCGCAGTGCTGACCTTTATATTCTTAAATGGCTTTTTTTTCAGGACACTGAATTTCACCTGTGTGCTTTGGCTTTCTAATTCCACCCAGTTTATACATTCTAGGTAAATTAGATGAGTGCGTAATGGGGAAAAAAAATCCCGGTCATGCTGCACATGTTTAAGTATTGTCTGGGCTCCTGTGGCCCCTGGGGTTCCATTAAGGAGCCATCTGTCCTGTTTGGTGTAAGATTAAGAACTCCTCCATCTGATGTCTCCAGTCTTGATTAGTTTCTGGATTATATCTAAGAGAGAGCATAAAGTTCAGAACAAAGATTATGTTTGTTTATCGGTCACTCTGGTTGTTTAAATCCTCTCCACCCACCCAATATTCAGGTAGGCCCAAAATGCCACGCTGAAAATTGAAACTCATGTTGGATGTGATGCATACAAAATGAGGAAAAGTGATTTTTCCCACAAGCTGACCAATTTGATTTTTGTGGACATGATTGACACTAAAAATGTCCTCTGTGTCGCTGTTTCTCAGTGACTTTTTTTCTTATTTCTCCCCTTTGCATCCTACTATTTTGTGGACTTAAATTGACTCTTGGTTTTTCTATATTTGGTCAACTGGAAGTCCATTGTATTTTAATACTTTAAAATGTATCAAAAAATGTGTTGGAGGGGGACGCTGGGCAGATTTGGTCCCCCCCCAGTGTTGACTCCATGGCTACGGCCTTGTCTCAAACAGTTTCTTTACAAAACACAGTTTCACACCACACTAAATTCTGCACACTGTAAAGAATGAACATATGCATTACGCAACAACATCTTATGGATGAACGTTTGTAAAGCAGGCCTTCATCTAATGCAACCTCATCTTCTGTAACAAAGCGGCTGAAGAGGATTATACTGCTGCTGCTACAGAAACTTAGTGGCCAGTGGAAAGAGAGAGTGGAGAGGGGTGGGGAGTCCAGAGTAGAAGCGGACAGGGAGGTGATTAAAGCACAGAGACAACCTTTGGCCCACGCAGCAGACGCTCGGTTTTTTGAGGTGACACAGATTCTTAAAAAGAGTCCACCCAGTCTGCCACAATGCTGCACCCTTTAATCATCGGCATCATGACCGTCAACACCTCTCTAACCGTCGTTTATTGGGCCTTCCTCCTGAGCGATGCATACTTCAGTTGGCTGATGGAGCCAGAAGACAAACCCAAGAAGGTGGTCACCCCGGCCTGAGAGTCACAGCCGATATGGACTGACTGAAAGACGGGGCTTTTTTTGTTTTTGTTTGCTTAGGACTAGTTAGAACAAGTAGTTCAGCTTGTAGTCCTTTCTGTGGAGGCTGATTTTGCAATTGATCTGCTTCCTGTTTCACCTGGAGAAGACTTGGAAACCCTCCTCTTAACAAAATTTTTTCACTGAACTGAATGGATCCTGCAAGTGAATGAGAAAGGAGTCATTCTTAAGGTAATTCCAGACATTTATCTAAAACTTTAGCGAAGGAAAATAATACATTGCTCATTTTTATTATCTTGTAGTATTCTCATAGTATTCTTGTTGTATTTGTGGCTGTGAATCAGCTGTTGAAACTGCACCACACTTGAGTGTCAACAGGTACTTCAGGTGATGCCAAATGAGCCCCTGTCTTCTGTTTTGCTGTCTGCTGACTCAGTTAAAAGGGGTTGCTGGTGACAGTGGTGACATGTGTCAGCCAAATCCTGTCATGGATTACTAAAGAACACCTTGACACTGACACAGACAGCCTGTGTCTCCTGACAGCCTCATCCCGAGACACATTCAGAGACTCCACGCTGCCTTTCTTGTCTCTTTTTCACCTGGGTCCCTTTTTTATGAGAAGATTTGATTTCCATTCAACTTTATCATCCTTTTAAATCTTTTCTTTTTTCTTATCTTTGGGCTTCCTCACAGCATGTCGCAGCACGTCTTCTACTTCGGTCTGCACCCGGTCTCTTGGTTCATCCTCATTGCGAATATTGCTATCACCTTCATAGAATGGCAATTTCTCATTTCTCAGTTTTGCAAAGTTCCTGAGCCACAAAAAGAAAATGAAACTAAACCATCTACATCCTGATGCTCTACCAAGAAGATCTGAGTGGATAAAAATGAAATTCTGGATCGCTGTTTGTCTGCCCACTTATTCAATGATGGTGGGTTTTTGTAGCAGCCACTATGGTAAGCCTTTTTATTTGCATGACCTTAACTTTCTGTCATATGTTTGTGATTATTTACAGACCCGACTGTGTAGGACACGTGCTAATTTGGAAGTCCTTTCATTCACAAGCCAAAGAGAAGAACTGAGGGGCCGTTACAGGTCTTAATAACAAGGTAAGGAATCTTTAAACTTCACGAAAACATCTTAAACTCCTTAATTTCATCAAAATTTGTTCCTTTTCATCTTTAAGATCATCTCAATATTTATATTAGAAAGAGGGCTGATCTGTTGTTCCTTATCAAATTTCATAAGTTACATTGGATGATGTTCAGTTTTCCTGTTGGTACATTTTGAAATATCACCATCTGTTCTGTTATCAAGCAAGAAATGAGCCATGAAAATAAAGTGTCATTTCAGTGAATTATGTGACAAGACATTTATAGAATATAAGAGGTGGACCGGCTGTGCTTAAGATGAATTCAAAGCAGGGGATATCCATGACGTGATGCCAGCTTAAACCAGTGACAAAGTGCATTTACTGTAACATATATCTACATATATATATA